TAGTCGTAGTAATAGATTAAATACAAATAGTAGTAGTAGTAGTAGTAGGAGTAGTAGTAGTAGTAGTAGTAGTGGTAGTAGTCGTAGTAGTAGTGGTAGTACTGGTAGTAGCGGTAATAATAATACCAGAAATAATAGCAATAGCAGTAGTAGTAGTAGTAGTAGTAGTAGTAGTAGTAGTAGTAGTAGTAATGGTAGTAGTAGCAGTAGTAATGGTAGTAGTTGTAGTAGTGGTGGCAATAATAATGATAATAGTTGTAGTAATGGTAGATCTAATACTAAAAATACCAAAAGTAGCGGTAGTAGAAGTACTAGCACTAGTAGTAGTAGTAGTAGTAGTAGTAGTAATACTAGTAGTAGTAGTAGTAATACTAGTAGTAGTAGTAGTAGTAGTAGTAGTAGTAGAATAGTAGTAGTAGTAGTAGTAGTAGTAGTAGTAGTAGTAGTAGTAGTAGTAGTAGTAGTAGTAATAGTAGTAGTAGTAATACGAATAGTAGTAGTAGTAGTAGTAGCAGCAGCAGCAGCAACAGCAGCAACGATAGCAGTAACAACAGAAGCGGGACCAGCACTTGAACAAGGACTAAGAAAGAAAGGAAACGCAGATTTGTCGGTCAAGGGCGCAGAAGACAGCGCGCGCTGCGGCCCCACCGAGGGCGCTGCGACGGCCTGAATTCACGAGCACGCCACACGGCTCAGGCGCGGCACCCCGGCGAGGCTGCCGCCGCTTCGCCGCGCCCCTCCTTCGCCGGCCCGCAAGGCGGCCATGCGGTCGGCCGCGGGGGCGGCCTCGCTGGCCTGCGGCCGCGACGGGAGGGGAGCCAGGCAGCCCGCCAATCGCTCGGCGACTCCCGCGCCTTCTCCCGGCGCCAGACCGCAGCCGCAGGCGCCGCGGCGGCCGCTGGCCTGCCGCGCGCGCCGCCAGCCAAGCCCCGGGCGGCGCGCGGCGCGGCGCGGCGCGGCGCGCGGCGAGCAGCCCCCCGCCGCCTGGCGGCCTTGCGCTTGCAGCCGCGCGCGCGTCGCGGCCGCTCCGCCTCGGAGCCCCTCAGGCACCGCCGCCCGGCCCGGGGCCCACGGCCGCCAGGGCGTCGAGATGGCGCCGGTTCGCGCACGCGGCGGCCCGCCCGATCCACAGGGCGGCCTCCCAGAGGCGCGCGGCAGCGCCCCGGGCCATCTGGGCCCGGGCCCGAGGCAGCGCATCGCGGCGGGCGATCTGCTTCGCCAGATCGTCAACGAAGTCGTTGCCAGCGACGTCGTGGGCCTGCACGGGCTCGCCGCTGCTCGTATACTTGCCGGCGTAGCTGGTGGCAGTGTCATGCGCTGGCATTCACGCCGCCCGGTCCGGGTCGGACTCAAGAGCCGCCGAGATCGGCCCCCGCGCTCGGGCCAGGGCCCAGCAGGGGGCGGCGGCCCAGCGCGCGCCCCGCTTCGTTCCGAGCTGCACAGCGGAACAGTCCACCTTCAAGAAGGAAGCGGGGCCAAACGACTGGACAGCCATGAGCAAGCCCCACAGCTCCGCGGCACGAATGCCGACTGCCCACGGCGGGGCGCGGCCATGCGCCGCCGCCACGAGTGCGCGGCTGTCGTCGCACGCAGCTATTGCCCAACCCTGGCGGGCGCACAGGTCGTGGAGGTCAACCCCCCCGTCCAGCCTGGAGACGTCAACGCACGCGTCAACCTTCGCGGCCAGCGGGCTCGGCCCCACCACCCATTCGAATGGTTCCTGCTCGGGCGGCGGGCCCAGGGCAGCGGCAGGAGACGGTGCGACGCCTCGTGCGAGCAGGACTGGGACAGCAGGGCTCAGCGCCAGCGTGCCCTCGGGGTCCGCGCGCTGGCGGACCAGCTCTTGAATCCTTGCGGGGGCCGTTTTCTGCCCGCAGGGCCCCGTGGCCGGACGCGCGAGGACGCGGCGCGACAGATGCCTTGCGAACCTCGGAAGGTCGGCCCGCGGGCCGCACAACCCCGCGCGCACGCTACCTGCAGTTGGCGGCGCTGGCAAGGCCTGCTCGGCGCCGCCTCGC